TGTATTCCATCTGGTGAGGGCCATGTGTATAGTTGTCTCTTATGCTGTCTAAAGAAGGTATTTAAATGAACAAATCATTGGTTTTGCAGAATTCTATCATTCATTCTCCAGCATCATTTCTATCACCAAGGCCATATTTTCCAACTACTGATCCTTCCTCTTTGCTCCCAACCTTTGCATTCCAAACATCAGTAATGATCAATACATCCTGATTGCATGTTTGATCGATTTCAGTTTGAAGAAGTTGGTAGAATTCTTGTATTTCATCCTCACTGGCTTTGGTGTTTAGTGTGTAAATTTGAATAATAGTGGTATTAACCGGGCTTCCCTGTCGGCACATAGATACTATCCTATCACAGACAGCATTGTACCTCGCCTGATCTGGATATGTTCTTTTTGACAATGAATGCAACACCATTCCTTTTCAATGTGTCATACCTGGCATAGTAAACCATGTGGTTGTCAGATTCAAAATGGCCAATACCAGTCCATTTCAGACTGGCATAGTGGCTACCACAACTGTGAGGCTGGGGCAGTGTTTTGTTTTGTTGTATATAAGGTCCCTGTGAATTGGATAGCCCCTAACAACAACTAAGTACCCAAACTTATGCCAAATGCTTTGGATACTGTAATGAACAAATGGACCCCTGCCCTCAAAATGCAAATCTAAACTACAGTGAGCTATCGCGTCACTTCCACGAGAACGGCTATGTTTTTTTTTAGAAATGGTAAAACAAGGAGAGTTGGAACTCTCATTCATTATTGTTGTTAAGTGCTGTCGAGTTGGTTCTGACTCATAGTGACCCTGTATAGGGCTTCCAAGGAGCAGCTGATGGGTTTGAACCAGTGACCTTGTGGTTAACAGTTCAGTACTTATTCTACGGCACACCAGGACTCCATTCATAGCTGGTGGGATGGAAAATGGTACGGCTGCCGTGGAGAAGAGCTTGGTGGTTTCTCAAAAAGTTAAACATGAGATTACCATATTTGTTGCTAAGTGTTTTTGGGTCAGTTCTGACTCACAGTGACCCGATGCACAACACAACATTGCCCATTCCATTTGGCATGGCCCATTGGTACAGCTTCCATTTATGCTGTTGAAACAAGGTGTTTGCAGCAAATGAGTCATTGGTCTCGAATAATTCTATCATGTGATCTCCAGCATCATTTCTAGCACCAGGACCATATTTTCCAACTACCCATCCTTCCTCCTTGTTTATAATTTCTGCACTCCAATCACTCCAATTTCATCATTGGCTATAGTGGTTGGTCCTGAGATTTGAACAGTAAGTGATATTTACTGGTCTTTCTTGCAGGCATCTGGCTATTTTCCTTATCACAGACAGCAGAAGGTATTTCCACAAATAGGTTAGTAAAACTAAAGTCAGTGAAAATAAAAATGGTGTAAAAATCTAGCTTGAGAACTGATCTATGATGAGATGCCGAATACTGAGTGGTAGCTTTGTGGTTGTTGCTATGTGCTTTTGAATTGATTCTGACTCTTAGCAACCCTGTGTGTAGGGTTTCCAAGGGGCTGCTGGTGAGTTTGACCCACCAACCTTGTGGCTCAAACTGACCTTGGAGTTCAGTGATTTATCCTACAGTGCCACACCAGTATGCAGGGGGAAATCCTTTGTTTTCATTTCTTCGGTTTGCATCATATTTGGTAAAGCAGAGGGTGAAAACAAAGGAAACCAGCAATGAAGTAGACAGATACAATAGTCACAATGGTGGGTTCACAATACCCATGAGCTTGTAGATGGTGCAGCATTAGGAAATGTTTTGTTGTTACATGTAAGGTCGCCATTAGTTCAAGCCAGCTTGGTAGTAACCAACCACCACAATGAGAAGGACGAGGTGGAGACTGATGGATAAAAGGGAAATATCTGGGTGAGGGTGATGTTTTGTCCCTTCATACAACTGGGGTACTCAGCTATGTTGTTGTTAAGCGGCCTTGAGTCAGTTCTGTGGGTTTAAACCACTGACCTTGCGGATAGTGGCCCAGTGCTTATCCCACAGTGTCATGCCTTATTAAAACTCAGTAAATGTCACCTCAGATTTCATTGCATACAAACTTTACTGGAAAAATAAATACACAAACTGAGCCATAAACAAATATTGAACTCTAAATATGCCCAAGCCTTTAGAGATGGGGCAGATTAATGCTATGAAATTTCTTTGCTATGCATAAGGAGCTCTGGTAGCGTAGTGGTTACAAATCAGGCTGTGAGCTGCAAGGTCAGCAGTTCGAAACTACCAGCTGTTCCGTGGGAGAAAGATGAGGCTTTCTACTCCCGTAAAGATTTATAGCCTCAGAAACCCTGTACAGGGTCGCTATGAGTTGGAACCGACTCCACGGCACATAACAACAACAACAACAACAATGCATCAGAAACTAAGATGCTGAATGCATAGACCAATGGATATGATGTTGTTAAGTGCCATCGAGTTGATTCTGATCCATAGCGACCCTGTATAGGGCTTCCAAGAAGCAGCTAGTGAGCTTGAATCACCGACCTGGCAGTTCAAACCACTTTGCAGTCTGACGCATTAGCCCACAGCACCACACTAGGACTTCAATGGATATGTAACAAAGCAAAAGGTTGGTGGTGAGTACATGAATCGTACATGTACAATTCTAGGTTAATGGATCAAGAATGGTAAAATTTAATGTCAGTTAATATTAAACCTAGCACTGGTGGTGACCGTGAACTCAAAGGATGGTGGTTCTGATTCCATCAGTACAGCTGGAACAATTCTTAGAAGCAAGGATGATGAGACTTGTCTCACATACACTGAACATGTTATCAGGAGGGACTAATCGGTACCTGGAAGAACGTCACTGTCCGCTAGGAGATTCCCATTCATGCCACCTATAGAACCTATAGAACCTCATAGGGTTTCCAAGGCTGGTAAGTCTTTACGGAAGCAGACTGCCACATTTTTCTCCCATAGAGCAACTGGTGTATTCCAACTGCTGAACTCTGTTAGCAGCTGAGTGCTTAACCACTGCAGTACCAGGCTTCTTCTGTAAAGATTACCGCCTAGGAGACCTTATTGGGGCAGTTTGACTTTGTCATAGAGGGTCACTGATTCAATTGTCCCGATGGCAGCTATCAAGTGATAAATCTCACGGAGGTGGGGGTGGGAAACAGGATAAGGGGTGGAGAGAGGGACGATGCTGTTGGCAAGTGTCTGGTAACCAGTGAAGATTTATAAATATTTGGTAAACAATATCTTAATGACAGAAAGTGAAGAGTTGATTTTGTGTGTGTTCGAGTAAAAAAATCCAGTTATCCTCAGAAGAACCGATGAGGTGTGTGGGTGTCCACGGGAGGAAACTAAGAACAGAGGAGGGACATATGAGTCACTAATGTAGACATGGAGTCCTGTTGTGGCACTGTAGGATAAACACTGGACTGCAAGGTCAGTTTGAAATGCAAAGTCGGTGATTCAAACCCACCAGCTGTTCCTCGGAAACCCTATACAGGATCACTATGAGTCGGAACTGACTCGATGGCACTTAACAACAACAATGTTGAGATGGAAACTGCAATCAAAACAGGAGAGTGGACTTGGGAGGTAGAAATGACTCTGCTCAGTTCAAACCTTTGATCCAGTGCGTATCCCATGGTGCCACACCAGGACCACAAGGAGGGAGGCCAGCGGCTGTGCAGGAGACGCAAAGAGCCTACAGCACCTGGCAATCCCAGGCGGTCTCCCATCCAACTACTAACCAGGCACGACCCTGCTTAGCTTCCTAGATCAGATGAGAAAATGGGCATCTATGGGGGCAGAGGCCAAGGCAGAGGCCATTGACCTATGACGTCATCGGGACGCCTACACCTCCTGCAGCGTAACATCACCTGGACGTATCCCTACTTCCCTTCCCAGGCGGGTCCTCCGCTTATTGGGTAGGAGCTGAATCAAGCCTCTCATTGTCAGCCAGTTCTATCAATCGGTTTCATTCCTCCGGTCTTCCGCCCCGCCTTCCTGAGCTAGGCTTTGATAGGCTAGCGCGGCCGTCACTTCAAAAAGGTCCGCATTCCTTCCGCCTTTCTCCAGGAGACAGAAGGCAAAGAGGGCGGATCCCCGGCGACGCCCACCTCAGAGACTCTGTTTCCTCCTCTTATTGGCTATTCTGGATGCCAGTCGCTCCGGCGCCCTCCGCTGATTGGCCTTCCGACCACAGCTCTGTACCGCTCCGACTCCGCCCCCGCTGGGTGTTTGTGGTGGGGCTGCGGAGTCGCCGATCCCGCCGGAAGCACCAGGACAATGGGGACCAGGGACGACGAGTACGACTACCTATTCAAAGGTGCAGTCGGCTGGGCGCGGGAGGCCGAGGGTGCGGTGGCGAGGCGATGGGCAGATGGGTCGAAGCTGCTTCCGGGCCGTTGGGCCCAGGCCTGAGCCTGGGGCCTAAGATCTGGCGGTCCGGCAGCCAGGCAAGCCGGGCTCCATCAGCTTTGGGTCCCAATGCGAGGCTACGTGGAGAGGGCCGGCCTGGAGAGGCGGAGGGGCCCAGGATGCTCCGGGGCGGGGCCAGGGCCCGGAGGGGGTGGGGCCCGTAGCGGTGGGAGAGGCCGTTGGGGCGGGGACTTAGGGGGCGGGGCCGTCTGGGATTTGGCGGGCCGGGCCGGGCTAGGCTCCTGGGTTACGGGTGCAGGGACTTCGGGGCGGGGGCAGTGAGTGGTGGGCGTGTCCATAATATGGACTGGATCTGAGAGGAAGGGGGCAGGACTCCCAGGGAGATGGGCTGAGTCAGGGGCGGGTCCCGGAAGGGGAGGGGTGAACAATGAAGGGTGGACCGTGGTAGGGGCCTTGAGTTGAGGTACTTACTATGAAGTGCTTAGTGAGGGAGCCCTGAGTAGGAATGGAGGGCCCCCTTGGTCTGACCCAGGTGTTGAACAGCAAGAAGGAGACCAAGAGCTTGATTGTTGTTAAGTGCTGTTGATTTGTTTTAACTCATAGGGACCCTGTATAGGGTTTCTGTCGAGCAACTGGTTAGCAATCCAATGTTGATCCTACAGTGCCACATCAGGACTCCAAGTGCTTGATAGCACTCACTAAGTTATCTGCCTTTTCTCAGCCCTTTACACACAAGAATTCACTCAGTCCACCTCTGGGAGGCCAGGATCCTATCTCTCTTTTCACACACTAGGAAGTAGATCCAGCCAGGCAAGGACAGCTGGAAAGTGTTGGAGGTCAGGCCTAGGACGTGTGTGAAGGGTCTTGGGCCAAGAACTGGGTCTCAGGACTGTTCTGATCGCCTCTTAAAATATGCAGACTGGTGGCATCAGCCAGCCTAATGGGTAGCTTTCCAGCCTGAGGGAAAGGTTCTAGGAGCTCCCAATATGGTCCGGGAAGTGGGGGCTAATCAGCCCCTCGAGGTGAGGAGACTCAGGGGCTTTGCAGGAATCCCTGAGTGGCTCAAGCAGTTAAGTGCTGGATGACTGACTGAAAAGTTGGTTTGAACCCACTCAGGCATTTCAGAATTGCTTGGCCATTGGTTTCCGAAAGGTCACAGCCTTGAAAAACCTTGTGGCTCACAGTTCTACTGTGATCCGCATGGGGTTACCTTAAGTCGGAACCCACTTTGTGGGTGCCTGTATGGTGTTTGGTTTTTAGCTTTGCTGTGTCTTGAGTGCCAGGCTGAGCCGTGGGCGGATCATCTGCTGCCTGTGATCCGCCTCCCATGCCAGCTGATGGCATCTGGTGTCCGTAGGGGTCTGTATCTGGACCAGACCTTCCAATGCACTGTGCTCATGCTATTATCCAACACTTTGGTGTCAGCTGAGCAGAATGGGGTGCCGCGCTCCCTACCCCGGGTATCCATGCAGTGAAAGGTTTCCAGATAGAGAGGAATAGGCTGATGCTCTGTGGCATGACAGTCTCTAGGCCTTGGGGACCTACCTGATCAGCAAGGTTGGCCTGAGTGTTGGGGTCTTACCCAAATGTTGAGAGGCGCCTTGAAGGGCTCTGGGGACAAGTGAGCAGCCCCAGCCCCCCTGCATTGGTCCTGGCTGCATTCAGCCCACCTAGGAGGTGACCATTGCCTAGGTCCTGCGGGACAGCTGCCCTCCCTGGCCCTGCCAGGCGGTTCATGGTATGCTGGGCACTTGGATGCTTCTCGACCTTTTGCTGTTATAAATAACCCAGCGCTGAGCATTTGTCATCCTGGTGCCTTCGGGTTCTTTCCTTGAAGTGTGTTCCCAGAAGTATAGTTACTGGGTCAGGGGCAGCAGAGCAGCCACACAGTTCCCGGGACAAGTCCCCTGAGTCTACTTCCTGGAAACACCGGACCAGCTTCTGTGGCAGCTGGCACAGGGGTGCAGGGGGGAGGTGCGCCCTCCCTGCTGGCCTCCTTTTACTAGCAGGTGCTCTGCTGACCTTCTTAAGCTGGAATGGTAACAAAAGTGCAGCCCCCAAGGTCAGCAGCATTCCCCAGCCTGTGGCTGGGTCACGTTTACCCCCTTACTACAAGCCCTCCCCCAGGCCCTTCCTCTATTGTCGTTGAATTGCTATCAGTAGGGTCCCACTCATAGCAACCGTGTATAGGGTTTCCGGGATCAGTTGGTGGGTTTGAACTGCCAACCCTGTGGTTCAAACTGACCTTGTGGTCCATTGCTTGCCCTGCACCACATCAGGGCTCAATGGATTGGCTTCCTTTAAATCCCCTACGTTTGTCACTTGGGTGAGTTTTTTGGGGAAAGGGACCCTTATGTGACGCTGATTCATGCCCCGCCCCCCAGCCCCCCACATGGGTCTGAGTAGAAGTGCTTCAGAGGCATGTCTTCTGAAGGTGCCCCTGGGTGGGTTCGAACTGCCAGCTGTTCAGTGAGTAACCTTTGTTGTAGTTAGGGGCTGTCGAGTTGCTGCTGACTCCTAGCAACCCGATGTCTATCACAGTAAAACTGCTCTGGTGGCGTAGTGGTTACGAATTGGGCTGCGAACCACAAGGTCAGCAGTTCGAAACTACCATCTGTTCCGCAGGAGAAAGATGAGGCTTTCTGCTCCTGTAAAAATTTACAGCCTCAGAAACTCTGTTCAGGATCGCTATAGATCGGAACTGACTCGACAGCACTTTATATTATAACAACATAGAATTTTTGAGGTTGTGACCTTTCGGAAGTTGATCACCAGGCCTTTCTTCTGAGGTGCCTCTGGGCAAGTTTGAACTGCCAACCTCTTGGCTGCTATTTGAGCACTTAACGGTTTGTATACCACCCAGGGATCCCACATGGCATCTCCATGAATTGGAATCAATTCCACACCAGTTAACACCCCCACCAGCCCATGCCTGGCATTTCAAGGAGAGATGGAAGGGAGAAGCTATCACTTGTTACCTGTCATACCTGTGGTAGGTGGACAGGAATGAGACCCCAAATCTTGCTGGGGCGAGCCAAGACCCACTACCACAGGCACTGGGTTGGAAGGGTAGGGTCCTGAGCTGAGCAGGGCCCCTTCCTAGCTTTCCCACCACCTTCAGGGAGCCCTTTAGGATTGAGAGGGGGCAGGGGTCCTGCCTGCCTGTTTACCCCTTCTGTGTCCCTGGCACAGATGAGCCACACTCCTTAACTTGAAACTCCCCTGCTCCCAGCTAGAGCCCCCCCCCCCCAACTGCCTGGTATGTTTTTGGTGGCCATATCACAGGTCCTCACACCCCTGGCCTCAGTGTCCCCCAGGGCCCCTGGGGTTCCCCCACGTGTTGTTTTCCTCTCAAATATGTTCCTCTTTCCCCAGGAGCCAGCTTGTTTACTTGTAGCTAATTATAGATCTTCATATTTATCCTCTTGAGTGTTTTAGCTTGTCAGCTCTGGCTGTTTTCCCAGATTGTCCATCCCTGGGGGCGCCCCAACCTCTCCTCTGGTGGCCTGGGTCAGGGGGTCCACAGTGGGAGCAGCTGTGTCCCCAGGGGCTACCAAGGTCTTCCCAGAGCCCCTGCTCCACTCACTGACCCTCTATCTGTGCTTCTGGTCCAGGGGGACATGGGCCACCTAGAAAGCTGGCCATGCTAACTTCAGCCTCATCTTCTGTGTGTGTCCACCCCTGGGAAAGACTTGGGGCTGCTCACCACACGGTGGGTGTTTCAAACTCATGACCTGTTCCTCAGGGAAAAGATGAGGCTCTCTCTTCCTATAAAGGAATCCGATATAGTGTAGCTGTGAGTTTGAATTGCCTCCATTGCAGTGGGTTTGGTTTGGGGAAGGGGAGTCCCCACGTGGTACAGATGTTTAACACACGTGGCCGTTTGTTTGAGTTCATGCAGAGGAGCCTCGGAAGAAAGTGCTGGTGACTTCCTTCTAAAAAACCAGCCCCTCTAAACCCTGTGGAGTAGTTTCCTCTAACACATATAGGGGGTGCTAGAGTTGGGGTCGACTGGATGGCACCTGGTTGTTTTTAGAGGGGAAAGCAGAGGAAAGGGTGGCAGCCAGCCCTGGGCTCAGCCTGTTCTGCTGAAGCTCCCAAGCCCATCTCAGCCTTGCAGCCTGGGCCGGGCCCCACCACCAAGGTCCTCCATTGCAAACAGGACTCCACTGGGCATGGTCTTTGGCACCTCTCCTGTGTAGCCCCACTTCAACTTCCAGACCCCCACTGTGGACAGATTACCCTCAAGTCAGCCCAGCGGTCTGGGGGTGGGCAGGACCTGGTCTCATTGCAGAAATACAGTACTCCTTTACAGAAATCAAGTCTCCGTACTTATATAAAGTACCCCAGGGTGGTGCACTGTTCTCGGCACTTCAGGCCCTACGTGGGTCAGACCAGACCCTGGGCTTCCAAAGGCGGTGGCTCCAACAGGGCTTGCCCCCTCTGCCTGCCAAGTGGTATATGCCTCGGGGGCCTGGTTCCTGGGCAGTGTTGCCACCAACTTCTGTGAAACTTCCGGGACTGAGTCCTCAAGGGCCCTTTATTCCCCCAGGACAACAGCTGGTTTGTGCCACCAACAATGCTGTGTTCATTCCTGGGTGCCCGCCGGCCACCCCTAGGCTGTGGGCAGTGTGTGCTGCCCGGCCTTTCCACTGTCAGTTGCCAGTGCCTGCTTCTGCTCCTGTCTATGCTGTCCTCTCTGGGTGACCCGGGGCCAAGGATTCGGTCTCTCCGTGCCGAGTGTCTCCGCCATGCAGTGAGGGTCATGATCCCAGCATTGTTCCCCGCTGAACCTGAGAAGCTGAGGCCAAAAGACACCTAGGCCAGTGGGCTGTGCCGGGGCTGTGGCCTTCCTGGGGATGGGGGTGGGGGGTGGGAGTGGAGGGGGGTTGACTGTCCAGGGGCAACAGGACAGGACAGGACTGGAGCACATCTCTGGGTTTCCTG